GTGATTATTGAGCAAATAGGATTTGTATGTGATGATCATAGACACAAACAAAACAATTGCATAGCTCATTGTCAATTTCACCCAAAAAAAATATTTTTTATTACGTTTGATTAAATTATTGTATCATATTTGCTATAGACTACACGTTACGTCAAATACCAACCAGAAACTGAGAACTAGTGCTCATAGTCATACGTATTTTAGTGTCTTGTCTTCCCAACACCATTCATTACATCATCAACTAAACAAACGCGTGAACAAAGAACACACACACAAAAAAAATAGACCACCGACTAATTAACTCGACAACGAAATTTTAAATTACCTCAATAATAAGGTGGGGGAAAATTAAATAAACCTCATTTACTTTCCCTCAAAGCCATAAATAAAAGATTTAAAAACGAACAAAAAACAAAGAAGAAGAGAAAAAAAGAAAACAAGAAGTGAACTATAGAAGCCAATAGGAAGCAAAGAAACAGAGCAAGCTCACCACCAAACCAGCCTTAGCTCCTTCGACGATCCTAACCGCACCGGCATCATCAGCGGTCGCATCATCCGCCACTCCATCAGGCCCTTCCACAGGCGAATCCGACTCATCATAAGAATCCGGCGACGGTGCAGCCTTCTTCTTCTTCCCTTTCGCTTTCCCTTTAGCCGGTTTTGGAGAATCCGCAACATCTCCGTCCTCCGGTGCAGGAGCAGGAGCCGGAGCTTCAACAGCCGAAGCCTTAAACAGTTCTTTAGGCAGTAAAACCTTATCGGTCGCGTAAATGGCCAAAGGCTGCTCGTCGATGAGAGTATCAACGATCTTGACAGTGTTGATCCTTGTCTTGATAGTAACTTTCTCTCCATTGTTCTGTACAGTGAGCTCAAACTTGTTGGCTCCATCGGTAGCGAGCGTGTTCATCGGACCATTGTTGGATTTGAGCATCGCCATCGAGTAATATGTCGGTACAGCGAGGAAATCGAGGAAAGCTTCTTTCTTTGGAGCTGTTAAGTTCTTGTATTTGGGCAAGAATCCTTTCATGGAGTCATCTCCTGGACAGAACACTGTCATGCCTCCTTCTAAACTCTCCTGTTAAAAATCCAAAAACTCATTCGTAAATCTCTCATGATCTTGTATCTTGTAACGAAATATTTGAATTTGGGTCGATTTAAGATTGTGAAATTGATGAAATAGCTAATCTAAAGTTGAAATCTTTTTACCTACTCAATTATGGTGGCAAGTGAGTTAGTAAGAGAAATTATTTTCACTTTCTTTCATAATTGAAAAGAGATTATATACTATTTGAATTGAATTTGGAAAACTAAATTAATAATGCTCAGATAATTGAGGTAATTGATTGATGGGTGATTTTGGTGTATTACCAAAAAAAAAAAAAACAGTAAGTAAAAATGGGGTATGTGTTATTGTTTTTGGGTTTTTGGTTATTTTTTAGGTTATAATTTTTTTTTTTTGTATTTATAGTAAATTATCCCATGATTGATTATATATTTGCTTATTAGTTACCAAACAGTCAACATCTTTTGACTTTTGTTGTTTGAAAACTAATGGCTATTGGCTACAAGCCAACAAAACAACCACATGCATCTTTTTTTATTAATTAATTTCGAACTCAACAACAGAAACTATTACTACTAATTATGAATTTATTTTCTCAAAATGGAGTACTTAACAATTTACTAATCTGGGTTTATTAGTGTAAGCACCTGCAGTTTAATGCATTTCTACATTTATACACTCACATGCATCTGTTTATTGATTAATGAAGTTCTAATTCGAGAATGGAAAATTAATACAGTACTATTTTTGTCATTAAATTAGCTACTCAAATCAGTGTTTAGCAGTGTAAGCACCTGCGTCTTGTTTGTTTTGTTTAATTAATTTATACATTTATACAGCGACATGCATCTAATTATTGATTAGTTATCAAGGAATTATTGAAATTAATCATTTTCTAATTACGTGTAATTAATGAGGGTTTAAGTAAAGTACCTGATATGTTTTAGAAGCTCCGGGGTTAGCGAGTAGAGTCTCAGCGAATACTTTACATCCATGAGCCGACATTATTCCGGTGAGATTCATCTCCGCCGGAGCCGGAGTCGGAGCCGCCGCAGTATCCGACGGCAACACTTTACTGATCTGAATAATAGAGATATTATACGGAACCTCTTCAATAGATTTGACAAAGAAAGAAGACAGATCTCCACCGTCTGGACCAAACCCGACTTTGCCTCCTCTCAGATCCGTTATATTGACGAATCCGGCTGTTCCGGGAGCAGCTCCGGTGGCTTGGAACAGAGTCGCGGCGAGAGCAGAGCCGTCACGGATCTGGTGGAGTTTTTTAGTGCCGAAGTAATCGAGAAGGACGTGGAGAGAGAGGATGTTTTTGAGAGTTGAGATTGTGTAGCCTTTTGAGGTTAATGCAGACATGGCTGCGTTGTCGACGGCGCATACGGTTATGGTTGTTCTGCGGTTGATTTCGTCGGCGAGGTGAGTTTGGGTTAGGAAATGGTTAAAGGAGGAGAAAGAAGGGTGGTTTGCTAGGAGGCGCGTGACGTTGTGCGCGTGAGATTCGACGGCGAGGAGTAGGAGGAGAGGGAGAATGTAGGAGATGGTTAGTTCTCTTGTCTGCTTCGCCATTGTTGATACTGTAGAGAGAAAGAGAAGGTGATGAGAGAGGAATTTGGGGGTTTTTTTTAGAGAGTGCGTGTGAGTTTCTTAAAGTAAAAATGGAAGAAGATGAAGAAGCTGGTTTACTTAAATGGACATGGATTCTGGTTGAAATTACGATTGGGCCATTGTGAAATTATTTGGTTATTTATTGCGAAATTTAAGCTTATGGGGCTTTGCAAGTTTGTGACCATGTCACAAGCTGTGGCTTTCAGTTTCCACTTACTATTATGAATATTATTGATATGTGTTTTATGTGGTTTTTTTTTTTATAAAAATGTAGGAAGTAGGAATGCGAATATACATATTAACGAATTAGATAGATTTTTAAAATTAATATTCGTAGTTGAATTAGATATATAGTAGATCGAGAACTGAAGTTTAACAAAAAAAAAAAAAGTATGAGCGGAATAAAAAAATTTAGGAAAGGAGACAACGCCTTTGACGCTTTGACAATAATTACAACAGCTTTAGGAAATTTATTGGTGGCACTGGCACTGGCACTGGCACATGCCCCCAACTTATCTAACCTACATCTATAAGAGTGTTTACATGTCACTTTTATTTTGATTAACAATATTTATGATTTGTTCTCCTTCGATGAGATATTTTTAGTTATGTGGATCACAATTATCATGTGATTAAGATGTTGTTATTTGTATGTGTAGCTGAAAATAGAAAAATACCTTTTCGAACTAAAAAACATTCACAAATTTATAATCCTACTATTATATATCTAATTTTATTATCAAAACATGTCACGTGGGAGGAGTATCTCTTCTTCATAAATTAAGGCATCAAAAACTCATTACTCCAGTACTAATACATAAGCCCATTTCACAAGCATAGAATCTTCTTCATCATTTTATTTATTAGTAAATAATAATTTGAATCCAATATATCCCTTATATATTAATTGATGAATGATTTGTGAGAAAATGTTTATGTGTTATCTCCACAATCAGTCTCACCAAAATAATTGTGATATGGCTTATCAAAATTGTGAATCAATAATAAAATCTTCTACAACTAAATTTTATAATTGTTACCATAAATAAATCAAAAGAGTTTTTAATCAATATATTATGAGAAATTTCAAAAAATACCACTTTTCAAGTGCCACTTTACAAAAATACCATATTTTACAATCTTTACAAAAATGCCACTTTTAAAAATTATTTATTCATTATATCATTTATGTTTGGGTTAACTATGTTATATTATGGTTTAGTTTTGAGGGTTTAAGGAGTTTTAAGGGTCAAAAGATTTTTTAGAGCTTAGAATTTTAAGATTTAGGCTCTAAAAAATCATAATTAGT